GGGGGGCAATCCCACATTGCAGCTGATTGCCCAACGAAGAGGGCTGCAAGTGTGGCTGATATCCGGAAGGGACGCCTTCTGGACGTACCTGCTTGGTTGTGGCGTTTACAAGCTTTTACTCCACTTTTCCGGTAAACTGCTAGTGAGTTCTGCAGATGTGCACGCCACGCTGTCATCTGTCGGTTGGGCTTCGACTTGAGCCTTTGGCCCCTTTTCCTTTTGAAGACCCCCCAGACTCCATAGGGTGTTTCTTGAACTTTTCAGGATTTGGGAACCCAGGTTGGCGTGTGGCAACCGCTTTCAAGTCAGTACGCAATTCTATAAGTGTGTGTGTGTGTGAGAGAGAGTGCGCGCGCAGAACCTCCAGCACTTGTTTTAGTTCGGAGCATGGTAATGGGGGTAGAAATGAATCATTGTGCAACGTTGACAATGTTTAATCACGTCATCCCATCTTCTGCTGCCAGCCAGGCACACATACAGCCCGACATATACAGCTGTTCGGTATGGTCCAAAAGAGTCTTGAAGATCACAGAAGAATATCTGTTCTGTTTGTTGGTGTAAAACAAAAACGTAAAACATGCTGCGCAACCATGAAATGATGCGAAGCCTCCTAACTTCTCAAGCTTGGGGATCGCCTTAACACCATATAATATATATATATATTATATATTGTTATACATACTGTGTATATATATATATTATATAGTTATATATACTGTTATATATATATATTCTTATATTTATATATATCTATGTATTGTTGTAATTTGTTATATATGTGTTTTTAGGCCAGCTCCCCTTTTGGATCGTGAATGACGCTCTCCTCTCCGCTCGTCGTCTCCATGACTCGTCGTCTCGTCGCGGGCCTGAGGTTCCTTCGTCCACGTTGACCATCTCCATCCCTCCATCACCTGTGGGTCGAAACCGACCCTCAAAAGACAAGGGTGGCTATGGTGTCAACAAGGAGCAAGACATGTGGCCAGGATATCCAGGATCCACAAAAGTCTGCCCACTTGGTTCTTGACAACCGATCTTTCACCCAAAAAGATATCACCACATCACCAGCATTCCTTGCTAATCCTTGCTGCAGGCATTGAAGAGTCTCGTCACAGAACCAGAAACAAGCATCTATTGAATCTAATGGTGTGAGGTGTCTGAAGGTTATCACGCATGCTGCACAACTGCGCACGTTGGACTTGTCCAACCTCATGCATCTATGCCCTATCAATGATTCTGCCTTGAAGTCCTGAGGTCACTAACATTATCAAGCGTGGGTATCAGGATCTGATTCTCATACAAAACGGCACCGCCCAGCAACTGAACAGCTGGAAACACGTCTGCTCCGTGCTGCATCCAGGAGACAATAGCCCGACGCCATGTACCGCGGCTGGCCAGGCCGTGCTGCATCCTTCCAAAATCATGCCAGAAGAATGAGGAGTTTCAGAACAGGACTTTGTTCATGCCTGTTCATGCCCACACGTTGGATCCAGGCCACCAAACCTCGGGTAAAAGAACCGTGGACCAGCCCTCGTCTCGATGCAAGAGCAGTTCTATCGGTTCTATTTGAGTGGACCTCCAACAGTAGTGTTGTTTTGGAGTGGTTTCCATCACCAGCAGATTTCACTCCACCTGCCCCGGAGCATCCCATCGCCAAGTGAGCCTGCCACCCACCCCATACATGCCCTATGGTGATGGCAATGCTGTGAAACTGATGACAATGATTGAAATTGACGACAGTGTTGTGAATCCGATGATCTTAGGGTGAGAGCGGTCTTCACCACGGACAGTGTTTGTGAAAAAATACAACACAAATCAATACAAAATAAATGCGAAACAAGACACAAGCACATATCACATGCTCAGGAAGCTTATAGAGGCCTGTCAATATGTCACAGCCCTAGCAGTCCTCCTGGTATAAAATGGATCTCCAAGGATCTGAAAATCTCTTGAAATCAGTATCCGTACACCAGTAAAGTACATTGATATTAATAAAGTGCATTGAAAAACGCTGGATACACAGGGATGCTCCTCTGCGTGGAAGTCAGCTAGCTGCTCGAAGAGGCAGCTGCCAGCAGTTCGGCTGCAGCCATCTGCTTGATATCTGCGGACAGTCGACGATCATCCGAGGGTCTGCTAGGAGGCGGTCAATTCCCGATCCGTGTTGTGGCTAACTTTCATGGAAAAGGCAAACTCACTGCTGCTAGGGTCTCCTCGTTCAATTAGTTAACAAGTGCACCGCTACTAGTAACAAGTGCATTGCTACTAGTAACCAGAAACTAATACTCGAAACAAGTACATTATCATGAGATTTTGACAACAAGCTGGCGGTCCATGTGGGTCGGTCTCATTCTGGTCGGAAACAGAGCATTGCACACGCCACGCCTGAAAGCATTGTATGACACACCTATCTTGTCGCAAGTCCTGGTCAGGCTGTTGGCCAAGCCATTTGGGAAAGATGTTTCTGTGTCGTTTTTGTCGATGTTCGATTCTCAGTGCTGGCTTCACATGGGGGAGGATCCATGAATTCCAAGCTATTCACACATGTCTGCTTCCGTCAACTGCCTGCCTTCCAGAGAGGTCGAACAAAGACCTGCCCAATGTCATCTAGTGCCACCATCACCGTCGTTGTCTCTCTTTGCAATTGCTTCAGGAGTGTCTTTAGCCCTTCGTGGGGCAATCAATGAAGCATGGCTATATCAACAAATGGATGTGGGGGATTTTGTTCGATGAGGCAACTGTTTGCCCAAGCTAACTGATCAATGAAACATGAATTTAAACCTGCAAGTACACCCCAGGAACCAAAGTTGAAGCGAACCAAGAAATAAGAGATAACCTTAAACCAGGTATTATATATGTATATATATATATGTGCCTCCCCCAAATGTCTACCTTTTTTGGTTTGCTAGCATGGTTTTTACTCAGCGCTGTCCTTTGATTTCAATTCAAGAATATAAGCAGAACGGCTGACCAATGCACACGGATAAGGGCAAACGTTTTCCAACGTTGGGAAATTAGAGAACGAAGATACATTCCAATTCATATTGTTAGCTGTATCTAATGCAACTGCAAATATCAGAACTGATGGATATAATTGATCATGTGAATTTCCACATTATCAGTCCAAATTGTTACATTGGGCTTGAGTAATCCCAAGTATGAATCTCAAAGTGCCCAAGTGCGAAGACCCCACAATTTACAGAATTAATTGTGTACTGGACAATGAACATTTTTTTTATGTAAGCACTCCAATTCATACTGTCAGTTGCACTCAGTGCAATTGCACATATGATAACTGATGAAAACAACTGATTATATGAGTTGATTGTTTCACTCTTTACACTGTGACAATGCATTTAAACAACTCAACCTATGAATTTAATATTGAGACAGTCACACAATCAATTTTCATTTTACAAAATCAACTGTGGAGGTAATAGACAATAATAAACACTGCAACGCACAGTGTCTGCAAATATCAGAAATTGATGAATATATAATATGTACACAACTAGAACATTGACCTGCACGCTCTATAATTGTGAATATCACAGGGCAACACATAAATTCACAGAACTATTTGCGCGCATGACAAATGATAAAATCTTATGTCAAGATTGTAACTCATATTGTCAAGTTGTCAAGTGTTTACACTGCACGCGCGCGTATGAGATTTGACGAAGACAGTTGATAATGTCCATTGTTAGCCTCCTCACACCTTGAGTTGTATCTGATCCAGTGTCAGGATAAGAATTCCTGAATGCAACTCTCCCATTGAAGTTGCAATATATGAATTGATTCTTTGGCATTTGTGACAATCACAATTAAGATTACAATTGACAGACTCACTTGTGTTTATGCCAACTTACAAAATTATATATGGTTGCTGCAACTCACACTGTTTGCTGTGCTTAATGCAATTGTAAAGTGTGAAAGTTGATGAGGCAACTGCCTATGTGAGCTGCGAGTTAGCAAACTGACCGTTAGGTTTGTACGCCTGACACGTTGAGTTGAATATTATACAACTGTGAATGTTACAGGGAAACACAGCGATTCACACATTTACTAGCGCGCATTGCAATGTAAAATGTTATTGCGATCACCGCAAGTCATACTATGACGTGTAATACCAACTGCAAGCTTCAATATGAGAAATGATGACTGCAACTTGTTATTATGATTCGAATGTTTTACAACTGCGGCATTCACACAGTAACTTGACAATTGACAGGCTCATTGGCGCGCATGACATCTCAGTAGCATTTCTCCCTTTCTCTTCTTTTTCATTCCCTTTCCCTCCCATTCTCTTCTCAGAGAACAGAACAGAACAGAAGGGAGGAGAAAAGAAGAAAAGAAGAGAGTTGCAATCTCACTGTGGTTACTTCTATCAATTTCACATATTGAGTTCAATTCTCATTGGCTAACATGTTTAGATTACCTCTATCTAATTCACACATTGACGTGTCTTCTCTATAGCTGCTATTTTGAGATTACTTCTGTGTAAAAGAACTCGATGAGATTAGTTCTATGTTTGGCTGCGAAAAAGCGGGCTTGGGAAAGACTTGGTCTTAGGAAAGTCTTACGACTTATCAGATTCAAAGATCTAAGGTTCTCCCAAAACTTTTAGGGAATCTTAGATCTTAGAACCTGAGAGGTCTTAAGACCTACTTAAGACCCCTTGTTGCAAGTCCAAGTATCCAAGGATCCACGACACACCGGTGTATGTACGCATGCACATATGTAACCGTATGTATATATATATATATATGTATGTTGCGGCTGGTGCAGAGCTCCAGGAGGTCACGGCGCTCCTGAACTCAAAACAGTCACCAGTATCCACAAGCACGCCACTTAACTATCTCATCTTTTTTCCCCTGGGGCCCCAGCTTGATAGTCTCCCGACTACAGCCTCATTAGTCTGTGCGCGTGGTATTTTTTACCACCGATGGTTGCTTGATTGCAACCAACCCCGTGATGAAGTCCAATTGGAAAGACCCCAATTGAAACCCCAACTTCAATGTTTTTCCGACTCAGTCGGATGTGATAAAATCAAAATCTGATTTGGAAATGTCTTGCGATTAAATCAGTCTAAAAAAGATGGGTAGGATGCTATGTGGAGCATACCGTGATTGTTCTGATGCTGTCTGACCTATGCTACTGGGAGCATACTGGGATGCTGTCGGGCATCCATTTTTAGCATCTGGGGATGCTAAACCCTGGCTGGAGCATATGCTAAAGGGAGCATTTTAAGACTAAATCTGTTCATTTTTGGGACGCTGAACGCTGGATGTAGCATATGCTAAAGGGAGCATCTGGGGATACTGTCGGGAGCATCTGGGACGCTGTCGGGAGCATCCGTTTTTAGCATCTGGGGATGCTGTTGGGGGCATCCGTTTTCAGCATATTTTGGATGCTATATGTAGCATACTACCCATCCACGCTTCAGAGCATCGCTGTGGATGCCAACTCACCTAATTTCTGGGCAACTTCTGACTTGAACTCTTCAAAATCAAAGTTCTCAGCAATATCATCTGATGAACAATAGCTGACAGCACAGTCGTGTATCACTTCTGAAGACTTCACGATCACCCTATCTATGAACTCACGTAAAGCAATCATTTGGTTTATCTCCGGCAGGAATAGCGCAAGCTTTCCCATCTTGAGCGCAATGGTGCTTTGTCGTGGTGGAGGTACTTGTCAAGCTCAAGGATGGTTGCGTGGTCAAAACTGCCCAAGAACTTTTCAAAGGAAATCTCCGTTCTGGCATTGGCATTGATCACCTTGGTGATGACCTCGGACGCCTCACTCAAAACGAAGCTTTTTGGCTTCTTGTTCTGCTCCGACTTCAGAACCACCTTCTTCGTGGTCTTCACTGAAGTGCTCTTCGTCTTTGATGGCATGGGTGAGCACTCACAAAACCGCTTTCGGGCACAAAACGCCTGCGTTCATGCGATGTTTAACCAATGCTCTCACAATCTGTCTTCCAAACGATGAAAACATTGGTAACTATTTTTCTTTTACCTCTTGGTGTGAAGGTGATGCCAGTGCTACTGCCATTTCAACGTCTCCTACTCTCTTCAATCAAATGGCTGTGGACTTTTGTAGATAATCATATGATGGAAGAGTTTTTTCACTGTTCAATGGGATTTCTGCATGGAGAACTTGCGCTCCCGATGGCTCACACACGCTTCCGAGCGGCCTCCGGAAGCACACGTAAGCAGAAACAGCTACTTTTCAGCGAATTTTGATGCAGCTTCGCTGGCTGCAAATTGTCCAAAATTTGGTGGCAGTGAGCAGAGCGAGGACGCCCGGAAGATTGGCGGGCTACGGGCAAAATTACAGTAACCGGAAAATCAATTTAGGAAATTAATGTCTCCAACAAAAATAGCCTAGCAAAGCTTTTCAGCAAACTTTGGACTTTCTGTTCGAGTTTGCGCCAAGCAAAGCTGCTGCAGAAGTGCGGCGAGGGCGAACAACGTTGGAAGGCTTTTGATGCCTTAAATTCGTGGGGTGTTGCACCATGCCTTCCCCATAACCAGTGATCGAACGGTAGCCGTTGTGATCTGACCAAAAAGGTATCGTGGACGATTTCGTGTTCCAGTCGTATACAGGACCATGCGTGCACAAAGCGTGGACAACCCGTGGACCGTAGGTTCTTTCGCGTGGACATGAGGTTATTTAGCGTTGACCATAGGTTGTTTAGCGTCGACTCCAGCCCTTCCAAAATGTATCGAAAACCACTTGCAATACCTTTGATATCAAACAAAGGAGCCTTTTTCGCACAACCTTCGCGAGCCCTATCCTAAAGACCATGGATCCCGGAGGAGGTAAAGCTTCGGAAGGCAAAAGCTCTTGAGTCCAGGTGCTCATTTGCTAGCTCTGACTCGCAGGAGACATATATCCAAGGTTACCATCACCACGAGGCCGATTCCGGGCACAAGAGCAAAGTGAGACGCACAGCCTCTGAGGAAATACCCTTGCTTTGAGCTCAGCACCAATTCAACATGGATGATGTGTGTCTTCTATTTTGTCTTCTATCCTCCTGCCTTTTTTGGCGAGGTGAGAACAACAGAATCATAAATCCCTTTTCCTGTCTTTGAGGCTTTTAACCTGGCAAGGGTCGTCGATGTAAACCACACTGTAATTACGACTTCAGAACTGCTCCACGATTCCGAGGGCTTTGGTCGGATGGCAAGTTAACGTTCTGTTCAGTTTGCACACCCATACAGAAGAAACCCTTCTACGCTGCTACACAATGCGAGTGACTGAGAGTGGGGTCGGGTGGGTATGTTAACGTTCAGTTCAAATTGCACACCCATACAAAGGAAACTCTTCTGCGCTCTGCACACCAATACGTATACGCTACGTAATGCGACGCGTGCTGTGTTGCGCACACATGTTTTCTTGTGCACATAACGTTTACCAGTAGTGGCTTCGGAGCTCGTACCCAAATGCCCCATAGCGTCGACACAAGCTCTACGCGCACTGGGAAGCGTGTGTGGCTTGAAAATGTGTTTCCAATGCGACCTGGAGACTTTTTTGGATGGGACCGTTTGGACGTTGGAGGTGTAGTTGGCTTTTATACAGACGGCTTCGTTTTGTTTTCGCTATTTGTCTTCCTAAAGAAACATTAAAAAAAAAAAGAAATGTGTTTTTCACAAACGTGTCACAGTCTTAAGTAAACCCGTGAGGATATATCTATATATATATAAATATATATATAATATTTATTTATGTTTGATCCAAATGAAGCTCGCGCCGGGATTGGATATAGCAAAATCATACAATTTGAGAAAATAGGATGACCAATTAATTGAAACAAAGGTAGGAAAGCAATGGGCAAAACATAAGGGAACATAGGTGTCCTGTTGTTTTCCTCGTGTTTGTCCTATTGTTCCTATGTCCTAATGTGTTCCTTTTATTTTCAAATCGTGTCATTTTGTTATTGTTTCACTGTTTGATCTCGAGGATCCTGCAAGATTGTAGTTTTGACAAAAAAACATGTTATTAAGTAGTGAAACAAGTAAGACAAATATATATACAAATATAAAGGGAAAACAATGGAAAACAAAGAACAAAAACATCCCACTTGTTCTTTGCTATTTTGGGTCCTATGTTTTCGTTTGTTTTCGTATGTCCTTTCGCACCCAGTGGAAGCTTAACTGTATCACCACAAATTTATAAAGGCACCGCAATGAGGTTGATCAATGGTTGATCAATGGTTGATCGCCGCATGCCTGTAGTCCAAACAGCTGGAGTGTCTATCTGTTTTTTTCTTTGCTTCCATCCCATCCACAACACCTATCCAAGGAACAAAAATGCGCGGCCTATCGAGGAGCATCGCATTCTTCAACGGCCTCAGCGGATGCGCGGCCTCTGCGGCGCTTGGGCCGCTGCGCTGCGAGGCCATGACTCCTGGACATCGACCAGCTCGTGTCCTGATGCGCAGTGCGCACGTCGTTCGGTCCAAAACCGGTCATCACGAACGGACCGGACGGCACCGGAAGCTGAGGTCACGTCTCGCGTCGATTTGACCAAAGAAAGTCCTATTTCCTTGAAACCTACTAGGCTCGAGATGGCTCGAGCTCAAAGCTGTAGGTCTCGGGCCCAAATCTTGCCCCATCCCGAACAGGCCTATTGGACGGGCAGGAACCACCAAATACCTGGAGGGCACATTCAGCAACCATCCAGTGACTGAAACGGCTTTCATTCACAAAGAAGCGGCCAGCTGATCAGCTGGAGTGGTGCTTTGGTCTGGCCAACTGACCTTTCCGTCGCTTCAAAAAGGGTGCAAAGGGTATCGATCTGTCGGATGAAGGTCGAAAAAAGCTGGCACAGACATCGGCATGCACCTTGCTAGAGCCAACAGTAGTAGGTTGGAGGCCATTGTTAGGTTGGAGGCCATTGTAATTAGGTTGGAGGCCATTGTAATTAGGTTGGAGGCCATTGCTATTAGGTTGGAGGCCATTGCTATTAAGTTGGAGGCCATTGCT